TGAACAAATAAAATATACAATGAATGTGGGAATTAATGAATTTCTGTAATGCACTGACTCAAGGAATAATAAGGCAACTCAGGTTTATTATCATGAAAGTGATATACGTAAGTATATGGACATTACGTACTATCGTGGACTATCACTTACGGTTACTTGTGTGTAATTGACAAGAGATAATGAGTGACATAATAGCAAGAAAGATTAGAATAATTTGTTTGTATAAATGTTAGAATGCATCCCGTAAGCGCGTAATAATATGAATTGCTACAGTTCACCTACGAAAACATTGATTCCAGACATGTGATAAACATGATACAGGGGATATCAAAAATCTTTGTTCACTGTTGAACGTAAGACTAGATCTTTGAAAGTTGCTGGTTTCTCTAAGGCAACCATGTGCTTCTATTCGGACACCTGAGAAGTGTCACAGAGCATACACCATTAATGATAATTACTTACAAAAACAAAGGTTTTAAAGAATTGATTATTAATGATGTCAGACTTTAATCTCATTTAATGAGGATGATTTTCATGTTGACTAGTCGATAGTCGGCCCATAATTCCAACGGTCCAACTTCGACTCATGTCAAATGAAAGCTCTTTAATAAATTACCTTTTTCTTAAACACATACATATTGGTACAAAAAGGCACCAGACAGATATGCGCCACACTTTTTTGTGTGAGGGTTGTGATACTGCCCGGCTGCCCAGACCGAAGCAGCTGGTTTTCTTAGGGGACCACACTACGAGCCTTTGACCTAAGAATCTGATCTACAAGGCAGTGGAGCATCGTGAGGAGATGCAGTCCCATGGTAGCCGGTGACCAACGATTGATTCATACGCCATTTGTTCCTTAAGAATACTGAAGCCCATGTACACCATTGGTTTGGAATCAGGGTTTTCCAACTCACTTAGGTGGACTTTCCGTGTCTACCAATCTGGTAAAGCGCCGGACATTCGCTTTCCGTTCCCTCACTTTCTAATACAACACCCCCGCCACGAGAAGGCAGTGAGTAGGACTTTCCTGGCAAAGGCTATATTCGCGAGGCCATGTGATCGTATTTGGAGAAGGAGAGTGGACTCTCCCCACTCTTAGCTGTACCAGGGCATTTAGGGGCAATAAATTACCTAACTTAAAAAGTACAACACCATCACCATCTCTATCATTTCGATATTTTAATAACATTAATGAATTCTAAATATCTACCAAACTCTTCATCCTGATTATATAAGTATAAACTCAAATAAATTTAATAGATTTTCACTATTTTTTTCTCGATTATAGAAAAATACTTTAAAATTTGGATTTAAAACATTTTATAGACTGATCATAAATGAAATACTTCTTTCCCCCTCTTCTTCTTCTTCTCCCTTTTCCTCCCTTCTTCTCCGTTCTCCCTTCTCCTCCCTTCTTTTTCTTCTTCTTCTTCTTCTTCTTCTTCTTCTTCTTCTTCTTCTTCTACCTTCTTCAGTAAAATAGATTCATTTCTATTAATAATTGTTCACAATATAGAAATTTAATTTTCTATGATTTCATTTATATATATAAATCAGATAAATACTACCTTCGATACAACAGTATTACTATTATCATTATTATTATTAGTAGTAGTAGTATTAGTGTTAGTGTTATTATTACTATTATTATCGTTATTATTATTATTATTGTATGTTATTCAATATGTGAATTGTCATTACTCCCCCTCCACTCCTTTTATTTTTTTTATTTTTCTGTTGGTTACTAATCTTTTATTTGTAATTACTTTTATTATTCAATTGAATTTTCTTTATTATTTAAGAATGTTTTTTTCTTTTTTTTTGTCGTTATGATTATGATTATTATTGCTTGAAATGAGTTAATTATTCACTTAACTATTCACACTTGAATGGCTTATATAGATATATGTATTCAGTGATCCACTTGTATAGAAGCAATTATAGTAAAATCATTATTATTATTATTATTATTATTATTATTATAGATTTCTTTTATGCTCACAATCTAATCTATTCTATTCTGCTCTGGATTCTCTTTTCTTATCATCATCTTCTTACGTAATAATGATAATAATCGATTTCTTTAATGATTGACAGATAATATAAGGGGGGGGGGAAACTAATTAATCTGTCATGAACAATGAGAGAACTTTTCATAAATAATACACAATATACGTATGTTTATTATGCAATATTTATATGATTCTGTTTTGATATTTCATTGATATCAGTGTATTCAAAAGATTCAGTGATAGTGTCATTTAATCATTGATGAGGATAGTGTTCTTATTTTGATTGAAGATTTTATATACTTTGGAATCATAGAAATGTAATCAAAATTTTTCTTGTCAGTTAATTTGTGAAATGTAGACCAGTAACCTTAAATGCCCTGGTACGGCCGAGAATAGAGAAGGGTCACCTTCCCTCTCGAAATGCTCTCACATGGCCACGCGTATATAGCCTCTGACAGGGAAGTCCTACTCATTGCCTTCTCGTGGCGGGGGTGTTGTTTACGAGATTGAGAGGACAAAAAGCGAATGTCTGGCGCTTTCACCGGGTTGGTAGACACGGAAAATCCACCTAGGAGAGTATAGAAACCCTGATTCAAAACCAATGGTGCACATGGACTACAGTATCCTTAGGGAATAAATGGCGTATGAATCAATGGTTGGTCAACGGCTACCTTGTGACTGAATCTCCTCACGATGCTCCACTGCCTAATGGATCAAACCTTTAGGTGTGTCCCCCTAAGAAAACTATCTGCTTCGGTTTTGGCACCCGGGAAGTATCACAGCCCTCACACAAATCTCATTTGATTTGTGTGGCGCATATCTATCTGGTGCCCCCTTGTAACAATATTTATGTGTTTCAATAATAAAATAAAATAATAGACCAGTGATTATCCATTTTGATTAAAGATATTCATTGAAATCTTAGTAATACCGTTTTACTTCAGACTTAAATAAACGTGAACGTTTTTATTGTAATTCATTATGGGAAATATTCTTTGATTAAATTCATTTGGTATTGTTTAGTTTGAATCTTCCCATTGATGTTTAGGACTGCAGCTAGTCAGTCTCTCATTGGTATATGTACATACTGTGAGTATTGCCTCGATATAGCCGCCATTCACAAGCATTATAAGTAAAGATGGATAATGGCCAGCAGTGGACGCGCTTTTCGTCCTATTTGGGACTCGTTAGTTGGATGTATTTGCATCTCAAAGTTGATGTTTACTCTGGGACTAGAATTCAGTACTGTTCACCTCCACTCAATTACTGAGCCCTGATAGCCATTTGCTTGTGCAATGGGGTCAAGTTTAAATTCAATTAGTATCGTTTGGTTGAATCTTCCCAACTCTGAGATGCAAATAAATCTAGCTGATGAATATCAAATAGGACGAAACGCACGTCCTGGTTTCCACTGCTAACCACTATCCATCATTGTTTATATATTAAGATACAGTATATATTCATTCGTGAAAAAAACTATAACAAAAATGTAACTTTTCATCCACCATCTCGATTGTACTTAGTCAATAATGAGATTGGTAGTATGTATCCATATTGAATAGTTAGTTACTTTTTTTCAATAGAGATTAACAATACCAATTAATTGACTATTCCAATATGATTATACTCAACTGAAATATGAAGCATATGAAAATTTGCGTTTATATTGGTTGTAATTGTTTATTCTATGGTTTTTAAAAGCATCTCAAGTGGTATCAATTCATGTCGAATACTACTTATAAATTCAACATGTCTTGATTAAATTCCTGCATCAAAACTATCATATTAAGATTAGAATAGGTTTTATATAGCAGCGAAATCTAAAAGGCACTTTGCTTTCGATTTAGGGTGTTCTCATTAGGGCTTGTATCCAATACTTTTACTTCAAAGACCAACACTCATTCCAATAAGCTGTGGAGTTCAGATAACCATTAACTTGTTGAGTGGATATAAAGATTATATTATTATTATAATTATCTCATTGTTGATTACTTACTTACGCCTGTTACTCCCAATGGAGCATAGGCCGTCGACCAGCATTCTTCTACCCACTCACTCTGTCATGCGCCTTCCTCTCTAGTTCTATCCAGTTTTTGTTCATTCTTCTCATGTCTGTCTTTATTTCTCGGCGTAATGTGTTCTTTGGTCTTCCTCTTCTCCTTTGACCTTCAGAATTCCATGTAAGGGCTTGTATTGTGGCGCCACTGGGTGATTTCCCCAATGTGTGCCCAATCCACTTCCAGCGATCCTTCCTGATTTCTTCCTCCACTGGAATCTGGTTTGTTATCTCCCACAATAACTTGTTGCTGATAATGTCTGGCCATCGGATCCGAAGTATTTTGCGTAGACAATTGTTAATAAACACCTGGATGATGACTTTCATAGTTCTCCACGTCTCCACCCCATAGAGTAGAACTGTCTTGACATTTGTATTGAAAATTCTGATCTTGGTGTTGGTTGACAATTGATTTGAGCTCCAGATGTTCCTCAGTTGTAAATATGCTGCTCTTGCTTTCCCGATCCTTGCCCTCACATCTGCATCTGATTCACCGTGTTCATCGATGATGGTGTCCAGATATGTTAAGGTTTCCACATCCTCCAAATCTTCTCCGTCAAGTGTAATTTGATTGGTGCATATTGTATTGTATCGGAGAGTCTTGCTTTTCCCTTTGATATTCAGGACTAAATCTTGATATACCAACAAATGTTGATCAAAATTCGTTGCTGATTATTAACAGCTGAATAATTCAAGCCTTTACTAATGGTGATTTATTAGAATAAAATTGTTTACATTTGCTGAAGTGTTTTATTTTGTAAACGTGTTGCATTATTTTCTATTACTACTTATTGGAAAGGTATTTTTCTTAGGTATCTAAGATTCATAAACTTGACGATCCTTTACGCCCAATTCTGGACATGTCAGACTTACCATTACTATTCAACAGCAAATATATATTTTTTTCTTCTAAATTTATTTGATTCAAATAGCTATTGGTGTTTCAGTGAAAATGATTGATGCTATATATCGACTACCTGGATTATCCGCTTTATACGCTGATAGATCTAATGTAATACGATCTAGTCAATGTTCCATGGATTCAGAATTGGCGAGAATGGAATATACTGAAGCTTTAAATGCATTTAAAAGTGAAGGAATTAAAGGTAAGATTTGACTTAACGTTGATGAGAATGAATGGAGATATCTTTTGTTCTATGATTTCATTTTGGAAGCCTTAACCCATATATATAGGCGATATTCGTTTTACAATGATAATCGATGTACTTTAACTAATCTCCACGCCTGATGGTTCTGAGTTCTATCCCTGGCGGTGGTGGTAAATACACACTGTTATATAGTCCTGTCCAGTGCTTCGCCGTTACCAATAGTTGTATAGCTACAGTCGATTTGTTATGCGAACTATAAAATTGACCGCTATTTACTAATAGTCTGATGAACGAATTCTCTCATTTTACTGATTCAATTTACAATTACCTGTTACTGTAAAACTAAATAAATCGATCTTCCTATGCGAAAATCGTCAAACTATATCACGAGGGAAGTTTTAACTTGGAATCCTTAAGGTAAAAGAGACAGAGAAAGATTAAAGAATACATTACGCAAGAAAGTGGAGGCAGACATCAAAAGAATAAATAGCAATTAGAAACAACTGGAAAGTAGGGTCTAGAGCAGAGTTGATTGGAGATTCTTAATCGTCGGCCAGTGTTTCATGAAGTGTAACAAGTGTAATTAGTTCATGGAGAATTCGTGAATGCTATCTTTTATGATCAAAAAGTACTCAGTAAACAGTAGGGGGACTTTTTGAACATCGGTCATTCGATTAAAACAAACTTATTCAATTTCATTTACATGTTTAATAGAACAAAAGTCATTTTTTTGCTTAGCTACTCTCACATTTGCTTACCTTTTTCCCGTTATCTTCAAATTAATATTATGTCCACTAAAATGAGCACACTAAAATAAGCACGAATACTAATATTTACCTTTGATTATTACTGTAAATAGGTCAGATATTTTCAAGCAACATGATTATTAACTTGAATATTTTGTTTGTCATTATGTCAATGGTGTCCGTGTATTTGTGTGATAAAGTTTCTTTTATTATTGTTTAGTTATCTTTGAACTATAAGCTAATTGAGGAGTTTGTATGCTTGAGATAAGATAGTAGTTGGAGGTGGTCAACAGAAAACCTTGGACCCGGGTTTCGTGCTACAATGCACTCGTCAGCAGGGTGTACCTGTAATCTTGGGGGAACTGGCGCTTCCTGACAGATTCGATCCCGTTCCACTCAGCTTCACAGTCAGAGACGTTACCACTGAGCTATTCGGGTTGTGACCGACCTCCTGTAGGACTGAGATGTAATCACAAGTGATTGATCACTGGGTGGTGATCAATGTCATGCATGTCAAGTCCGTCTTTAGGGCTGATCGAATGCTATGGATCAAGTTGCAATGTGGCCACTAGTCTAGGTGGCTCGACACTGCGTGCACTATGTTGAGATAAGATGGTGGTTGGAGGAAACCCTGGACCCGGATTTCGTGCTACTTGGCACTCGTCAGCAAGGTAAACATGAATGTAGGACTTGCTAGTAGAAGATCAAAGAATATACAGTTTCGTTAGGGTTTTCTAACTAATTGAAAGTAAAATGTCTACGAAACATTCTATTAGCTCTTATAGATCAACCATTTGTCTGAACTTTAATTTATAGAGTACTTCAATGTTGTCATACGTTGATATTATTAAATCGTTTGATTGTGAAGAAACTGGGTACTATTATACGATTCTCTACATTGAGTAAATCAGCTATCCAACATTATTGTAAGCTCAAAAACATAGCTGTATCGACCCATACTACCAGGCTACGTAATCACAATGTGAGAAGTACTTATTTAGATGTATAGCAAAAAGATCGAAATGATTTTAATGTCTATGGTAATACAAACAATCTAAATATGGAAAACATGGTTCACAAAGAAGATAAAAGTTAAAGAAATAATATATGTGGATTATTATTGATATCAGAAGGGGTTTTTTGTGGAGATTTAGTATTTTCATAGTTGAAAGCGTTAGTCAATTGAAGCTACACCACCAAGGAAAACCTGGAAGCACTGGATGGCCGTTTCATCCTGTCGTGGGACTCTTCAGCAGTGCACATCCACGACCTCGCCTCGCGAGATTCGAACCCAAGACCTCCCAGTTTCGTGCCAGAGCACATATTTATTTATTTACGTGATGACTAGTATCAATTGACATAGCTTTTGTAAGTGACAATCTCATTCAACACCACATAAGTTAAAAAAATCTCTAAAAACCTATTACACTAAAACTAATGAATAAATATGACTCTGCGACAACGACAACAACAACTTGAGTTTTGATTATCTTACTGAATTTTAATAATTTAGCTCGAAGCAATCTTATCTTTAGTTCTTATCTCTCTTTCTCCCACATTTCTCTCTCTCTCTCTCTCGCTTTATTCCCATCTTAGCATTACATATGTTTAATACACGACTAACATGTTTCCTCAGTTGAATAATCACTACGACAACACCTGCTTTCGGCTATGTTTTCTTTTTTGTTTTGATTCTTAGGATACTTTTGATGAATAAATAGATATTCTATTTATTTATTTACTAACCAAGTTTATATATTTATATCCTATGGGATATCTAGATTCATATATATGTATATATATGCGTATACATTCACCCCAACTATTTGTTGATGATCACTGATTTGAATTGTATGATTACTTCAATCGGTCAATCTTACAGGGTATCCCACAATTGTATGTTGTATACATATACAGGAATACGAATATTTTTTATATACTTTCACAATTATATTATGATTAGAGTTTATGGTATGTTGTTTTATTTTTCTAAAAAAAGAAAGGAAACCCCCCTAGTAAATATAGTAACCTATTGTGTAATCATTTTTTGTATCTGCGTAGTTAATCATTCATTAGAAATGACCAAATCAAAATCAACTTAATAATGAGAAGGAGTTTTGGTGAAGATTTCAGTATTTTCATAGTTGAAATCATGAATCGATTGAAGCCAGACCACTATGGAAAACCTGGAGGCATTATACGGCCGTTTCCTTCTATTATGGGACTCCTCAACAGTGTGCGCCCATGATCCCACCTCACGAGATTCGAATCCAGGACCTACCAGTCTCGCTCCAGAGAAATGGTTAGATTGTTGTCAGAGGTTAAGAATTTGATATATATATATATATATAACTCCGCCTGTAGCTCTTCTAGAGTTACTGCCGGTCCCAAGCTCGGGTAAAGGAGGAGGGTTGGGCATGGGGTTAGCGACCCCATCCCGTAGAAAAGCTAACTCGCTAAAAAAACGCTAACCAGAAAAAATAATTCAAACCATTTGAACTCTGCCCTGGTAGTTGAAGGAATAATTATGACGTCTCATGATGAAAGCCGAAATTCTTCGGAAGTCACGAGACCGATGCACCTTCTAACAACCAGAGCAACACTCTTTATAGGTACATGGAACGTCCGGACAATGTGGGAGACGGGAAAGACCAGTCAAATAGCAATGGAAATGAGAAGATACAACTTGGCAGTACTCGGAATCAGCGAAACCCATTGGATATAAACTGGACAACAAAGGCTAGGTACAGGAGAGATGCTGCTGTACTCCGGTCACGAAGGGGAAAATGCTCCACACACTCAGCGAGTTGCTCTAATACTGTCCAAAGAAGCACGAAATGCACTTGTGGGATGGGAATCTCATGGACCCAGGATAATCAAAGCATCATTCAGAACAAAGAAGGAGGGGATCACAATGAACGTTATCCAATGTTATGCACCCACCAATGATAGCAACGACGATGATAAAGATCAGTTCTATGAAAGGCTGCAATCAATTATAGAGAAGTGCTCACGAAAGGACCTCACCATCCTTATGGGAGATCTAAATGTTAAAGTTGGAGTAGACAACACAGGATGTGAAGATATAATTGGACGACATGGACTAGGAGAAAGAAATGAAAATGGAGAGAGGCTTTCAAATCTATGTGCATTCAACAAATTGGTTATAGGCGGCACAATATTCCCACACAAACGCATACACAAAGCTACATGGATCTCACCGGACCACACCACAGAGAACCAGATAGATCACATCCGTATCAACAAAAAATTCCGAAGATCAATGGAAGATGTGAAAACCCGAAGAGGAGCTGACATAGCTTCAGATCACCACCTGGCTGGTTGTGGCCAAGATGAGACTGAAGCTAAAGAAAGACTGGACAACTGGACAAACAGCACTACAAAGGTTTAATACAGCCTTCCTTCGAGATACTGACAAGCTCCATGAATTCAATATAATTCTCAACAACAGGTTCCAAGCTCTACAGGATCTACTGAAAGAACAAGAAACTACTTTGGAGGACAACTGGAAAGGGATAAAAGAAGCACTAACTTCAACGTGTCAGGAGGTTCTTGGTCCTAAGAAGCATCATCACAAGGAATGGATCTGTATGGGAACCCTGGACAAAATTCAAGAAAGGAAGAACAAGAAACTAGCAATTAACAACAGCCGAACACGAGCAGAGAAAGTCAAAGCACAAGCAGACTACGCATAAGCAAACAGAGAAGTGAAGAAAAGCATTAAAGCCGACAAGCAGAAATATATGGGAGAACTAGCAACGGCGGCGGAAAAAGCTGCAAGAGAAGGGAATATGAAACAACTATATGACACAACGAAGAAATTGGCAGGGAGATATAGCAATATACCAGCAGAAGCACTGAAGTCAGACATTGAAATAACTGCAAACATGCTTCACCTTCTATTCAAGAAGATTTGGGAAGAGGAACAAGTGCCAATGGACTGGAAAGAAGGATATCTCATCAAGATACCAAAGAAAGGAGATCTGAGCCAATGTGAGAACTACAGAGGTATCAGTTTGTTATCAGTACCAGGAAAAGTTTTCAACAGAGTGCTGCTGAATCGGATGAAAGACGCAGTAGACGCCGAACTAAGGGATCATCAGGTTGGATTCCGTAAGGATCGGTCGTGCACAGACCAGATTGCAACACTACGGATCATCGTTGAACAATCAGTTGAGTGGAACTCATCACTGTACGTCAACTTTATTGACTGTGAGAAGGCGTTTGACAGCGTGGACAGGAGAACATTATGGAAACTTCTTCGACACTATGGAGTTCCTGAAAAGATTGTCAACATTATCCAGAACTCATACGATGGACTACAGTGCAAAGTGGTGCATGGAGGACAGCTGACAGATGCATTTCCAGTAAGGACCTGAGTCAGACAAGGCTGTCTACTCTCCCCATTCCTCTTCCTTCTAGTGATTGACTGGATTATGAAGAATTCGACATCTGAAGGGAAATACGGAATACAGTGAACTTCTCAGAATCAATTAGATGATTTGGACTTCGCAGATGACCTAGCCCTCCTCTCTCATACACACGACCAAATGCAGATGAAGACAGCAAATGTAGCAGCAGCCTCCGCATCAATAGGCCTCCACATTCACAAAGGAAAAAGCAAGATTCTCAAATGCAACACGGAGAACACCAACGCAATCACACTTGATGGCGAAACTCTGGAAGAGGTGGAAACATTCACGTACCTGGGGAGCATCGTTGATAAACAAGGGGGATCGGATGCAGATGTAAAGGCGAGGATTGGCAAAGCAAGGGCAGAATTTCTACAATTGAAGAACATATGGAACTCAAAACAACTCTCAACCAATTTCAAGGTCAGAATCTTTAATGCGAACGTCAAGACAGTCCTACTGTATGAAGCTGAAACGTGGAGAACTACTACGGCCATCATCAGGAAGGTACAAGTATTTATAAACAGTTGTCTACGCAAAATACTTAACATCCACTGGCCGGATACTGTCAGCAACAGCGTTTTATGGGAGAGGACAAACCAGCATGTTCCAGCTGAAGAGGAAATTAGGAAAAGACGTTGGAAGTGGATCGGACATACATTAAGGAAATCACCAATGTGCATTACAAGGCAATCCCTAACTTGGTATGGTGAAGGGAAGCGGAAGAGAGGAAGGCCAAAGAACACACTACGCCGGGAAATAGAAGCCGATATGAAAAGGATGAATAGTAACTGGAAGGAACTGGAAAGGAAGGCTCAGGTCAGAGTTGGATGGAGAATGCTGGTTAGCGGCCTATGCTCCTCTACAAGGGGTAACAGGCGTAAGTAAGTAAGTAAGTAATACAATTAATTGTCTATCATCATCATCATCATCATCATCATCATCATCATCATCATCATCATCATCATCATCATCATCATCATCATCATCATCATCATCATCATCATCATCATCATCATCATCATCATCATCATCATCATCATCATCATCATCATCATCATCATCATCATCATCATCATCATCATCATCATCATCATCATCATCATCATCATCATCATCATCATCATCATCATCATCATCATCATCATCATCATCATCATCATCATCATCATCATCATCATCATCATCATCATCATCATCATCATCATCATCATCATCATCATCATCATCATCATCATCATCATCATCATCATCATCATCATCATCATCATCATCATCATCATCATCATCATCATCATCATCATCATCATCATCATCATCATCATCATCATCATCATCATCATCATCATCATCATCATCATCATCATCATCATCATCATCATCATCATCATCATCATCATCATCATCATCATCATCATCATCATCATCATCATCATCATCATCATCATCATCATCATCATCATCATCATCATCATCATCATCATCATCATCATCATCATCATCATCATCATCATCATCATCATCATCATCATCATCATCATCATCATCATCATCATCATCATCATCATCATCATCATCATCATCATCATCATCATCATCATCATCATCATCATCATCATCATCATCATCATCATCATCATCATCATCATCATCATCATCATCATCATCATCATCATCATCATCATCATCATCATCATCATCATCATCATCATCATCATCATCATCATCATCATCATCATCATCATCATCATCATCATCATCATCATCATCATCATCATCATCATCATCATCATCATCATCATCATCATCATCATCATCATCATCATCATCATCATCATCATCATCATCATCATCATCATCATCATCATCATCATCATCATCATCATCATCATCATCATCATCATCATCATCATCCCGGGTTCGATTCTCACGGTGTGTGATCGTGTATGTGCACTGTTGACGAGTCCTTAAATAGGAAGAAACGTTCATCCAGTGCTTCCATGTTTTCCCTAGTGATCTAGGTACAATTGATTCATGATTTCAACTTTAGAATATATTTTATTACATTTATCTCATAGGTTTCATTGACTTAATTTGTCATCACATTTTATTGTTTCTTCTTATCTTCTACTTTTATTCTTATAGTTATTAATGAAAAAATGTCGGATCAACCAAAAGAGGGTGATTGTAATGAAAAGTGAACAACATAAATGAATTATTCTTGTAACGTTACCATTTACTTGTATAGGGATATTTATTTTACAATAAGAGATTGTATATATATATATATAATTCATAGTGTGTAATGTTTATTTTACTTAAATCTTTTCTGAAGTAAACGGCGGCCTGTACAAATCTTCCGCCGCTTATTTTCAACTATACAAATTTTAGAAATAAACGATCCATTTCAAACTTGTTTGAACTGGTGAATTATTAAAGTTTACTATCTGTAGTCATGCGTTATTATAAAAAAAAAAACGGTTAAAATTCATTGTCATATTAAATATAGAAAAACTCATACAAAAACACTAAAGTTTGGACATATTTACTTTCTCTTATCTGTTCTTTGATAAAGTAAAAGATAAATATATCCTGGAATTCAAGTACCTTATGCCTAGGATGAATGAAAAAAAAAAGTTGTATCAATTGAACTAATAGAAAACTTTAGTGATTGAATTTACTTTGGAAATACTGACTGTTAAAAGCACTTTAAAAATATGAGTCCCAATTGAGGGATAGTGGATGCATATTGCTAAAAAGTTCCATAGTAGGACGAAATATAATGATTCAAACTGCAGAGGCTGTTATTGATGTTTTGGACTTAACTGGCTGCGCTAGGCGGAAGCAGAACTGATAAGTACTAAAGACTGCTCATACGGGTTTTCGTGTATCATTGGCCTGATCGATAATTCACTGCTCTCTCATTGGCGGGGATCATCACGTTATATACTAAACAGGGCACGCACACAATCGATATGACACATTCTTAAGCAAACTTTTCATTTCTCATATTGTGGTTGTTTTATTTAGAGTTGTAATCTATTAGTTCATATGTAAAAATTTCATTTGTTCGTGACGTAGAATGATATTATCTTTAGCTGTTAGGAGATTACTTTCCACCTCCTCAACACTGTTAAACTATACCAGTCACGATTTTTCATTGGAACTTTTCATATTTTGTAATCATACACTAATGGATTGTTATTTAGATCATACATTTTTAATTGAGCAATTCATTTCACAGTTGAAAGTATGAGTCAATTGAAGCTAGACCACCATGGAAATCCTGGAAGCACTAGACAGCCGTTTCGTTCTGTTATGGGACGCCTCAGCAGTGCGCATCCATGATCCCGCCTCACGAGATTCGAATCCAGGACCTACCAGTCTCGCGCCAGAGCACTTGACCACTGAGCCGGCTTCCGATGGTGTTTATGTTCATTTTGGGAGCTTCTAACAAATTAATTGGAAAATATAAACTAGTTTCATTTAAGATTCATTATAAAATAAATATATAAATTGCCTTAGAACCATCTTAAGTTTATCTTTGTTTGTATTTCACTTATTTAATGAATAAATAAAAAAGTAAATGTTAAAATAAAACCGAATTCTGTATTGAGTTTGTGGTGGGCGCTATTCGTAGGATTACCTGTAGCAGAACATGGGGTTGAATGGAGAAAAGGGTTTCAGTACATCAAAATCATAACGTTAGCAGTACACTTGAAGACTAGACGAGAATACAGTTCAGACTGTAGAATACACTAGGAGACCATGTATACGCATTATATAATAAAAAAACTCAAATTGGTTTCTTACGTACTGCACCCTGACACCAATCTTAAACATTGATTGACAACTGAGTAAAGACCAGCGATAGAGTGATGCTCACTGTTCCGACTGAGACATTATGTGATATTTGTTCGGATCTCACCAATATTCAGATTTTGTGATGCTATAGGAAGGACAACACGTTAGTTCATTCGAGCTTTGAATGATTGTAATAAATATATATCCTTAAAATAATTATAGAACTCATGCCCGTTTAAAGGCCCGATCAGCTTGATAAACACAACGTTATGTTTTAAAAGTCAATATATGATTTTAGATTTTTTCGGATTGTAATTATTCAAAAAAGATACTAAAGTAACCAGAGACATTTATTTATTTGAACACGTAAATATTGGTACAAGGGGGCACCAGATATATATGTGCCATACAAAATGCTGTAATTTCATTTAATTGTGTGAGGGCTATGATACTGCCCGGGTGCCCAGACCGAAGTAGGTGGTTTTCTTAGGGGGCCACACCCGGAGACTTTGACCTACAGATCTGATCCACAAGGCAGTGGAGCATCATGAGATGCAGTCCCATGGTAGTCGGTGACCAACGATAGGTTCATACGCCTTTTGTCCTCTCAGGATACTGGAGCCTATGTACATCATTGGTTCGGAATCAGGGTTTTTCAATTTCCCCCGGTGGACTTTCTGTGTTCATCAACCCGGTTAAAGCGTCCTCTCAATTTTGTAAACAACAGTAATGCCACGAGAAAGCAGTTAGTAGGACATTCCTGGCAGAGGCTATATTCATGTAGCCATATGAGGGCATTTTGAGAGGGAGCGTGTACTCTCCCCACTCTAGGCAGTACCACGGCATTTGGGAGCAGAGACATTTATGATTAGATAACATAGCTAGAAATATTCATTTACATCTTCATTGTCTAATATAATGTTAAAATAGCATACAAATATTAATGTAGCTTAATAAAGAGTCTTCTTTCTTAAATCCAAGTCACGAATGCTTTAGTAGGTGAATAGATGAAATTTGATCTTTCTGTAATCCAGTCATACACGAAAGCAAAAAGTTAATATATCAGTTTATTTTCTAAGTTAAACATGTATTTCATGTTGTTTAATATGACTTTTATGTTAAAGTAGTTTCATCATACAACATTATGTTGCTTAATTAAAATTATTCACACGTGCAATAATGGGAACATAACATACATTTCTTAGATTTATTCACTATGAAACCCAGTAAACATTTTAATGGATAAGCAAAGATGGATAGTGGCTAGCAGTGGAATCCAGGCCGCACGATTCGTTCTTTTTGGGACTCGCCAGCTAGATGTACTTGCATCTTAGAGCTGATGTTCACTCTGGGTCGAGTGGATAACGCGGTTGAGTTTGAAGCGAATGGTACTGAGTTCGAGTCCCAAAGTGAACATCAACTCTGAGATTCAATGACATCCAGCTGATGAGTCCCAAATAGGACGAAACGCGCGTCAAACTGGATTCCACTGCTAGCCACTATTCATCTTTGCTTACGATGCTTGTGAATGAAGGCTATATCGAGGCAATGCGCACAGTATGCACATATGCCAATAAGAGACTGACCAGCTGCAGTCCTAACACATAAATGGGAAGATTCAAACAAACAATACTAAGTGAATTTTAATGGATAGCTTGATACATTTTGGAAGGCAATCTAACTGAATAATAACCAAGAAGTTTTGGAATCAATGGATTCTTCAAATAAGTGTAATCTATCATTGAAATCTATAAGATGGTAATTAAATTAATGGCGGTAACTTTGCTTAGATAAATTTAGTTGAAATCACTTTTGTATGTTTTCATGTGGTTTGGAAGATTAAAATAAAACTAGAGAAGTGAAAGATTTCAACAAACTTTGACTCTTCAAATCCTGAGAAAAACAGATAGTCAACATATCAAAAGAGTCTTCATTATCAAGAAAGAAATAGTATTTACAGGTGGTTTTAGGACTTTAATACCATCCGGTGAAGTCACTCATATTGGTTTGGTGTTCCAGAGATTTGACGTTGGTGAAGCCTCACTCGGTATAGCCAAAAACCTATCGGGATTAGAAAGCCGCTTTCTGAGGCTCATAAGCTAACCGCGTTGACCTGATTTCATGTGGTAATCGTTGGAACCCCGAGTCTTGGCGAGCGGAGGTTGCACCAGGGTCAAGTATGGTATACATGCATACTGGTGACGCATACGTTTTCACCCATGCATCCCTTACCATACGCATAGGTATACTTACTCTGTGAGCAAATATACGTTACATGCACACCTGTAGCACACGTTTTCACTCATGTTTCCTATACCATACATATATTCACCGACCCAGGAAAGTAAATTGTCATCGCTCCTATCGAACGTATTTGCTACAACTGACTGTCTTTTACACATTGCATGCATATCAATGGTGCAAGGACTTTCGTCCATGAACATCATGACATACACATAAGCATAAGCACTTTCCACAGGAGGATTTATGGTCACCTCTTCTTGGTATCCGTTATCAGATCTTCTTCAACCCTAAGAATTGAACCGCTGATTTTTTGACATAGGGCAGACATTTTTCAGCTTACATTCCTCGTGCTAACCCACGTGCGTACCCTTCGTATGTACACACATACACAAGCTGAGACTGATAACCTTTCATAAGCATACACATCACGCAGCCCATTACGATTTTTAGAGCCTCGAGGAGTGAATTCCGAGTAATTCAACCACAGCAAAGGAGTGGCGAATTAATCCGATCTCCGCTGACTAATTAAATTAGCTAACACGGTCAATCTCACTATCCAGCTGAGCCACTTGAAATATTTGAGTCGGATTTTGCTGCTACTCAAATTAATAAAAACTTTGACACCGGATCAGCTGGGTAGAGTAAAAGCTTCATTCGTTGATTTCTTGACTTTTCATGGATGTTTCCAAGACTACTGATTGTATAGAGCATTCTTAAACATTTTCGCAGCTTTAAGAGAATGTTTCAAATAATTATAAGTGCTTTTTAACAAAGTATGCTTCTACATAACACCATTAACACTTTTGATTACTAAAGAACCTTTTTTTACACAGTGATAAGTTAATTTTCGCCTTTATATTGTGATATTTTTAATCGTGTTAGCACAAGTTTTGATGATAATAATCTAGTACTTTATCAGTTGTTATCTCAGACTTTAAATGAAAATTTTTCATTATTTCCTAGTATTAAGTAGCCTGTTAATAGAGTCATTTCCAAACTGTGATTATGAATACAGTGATCTTGAGTGCTGTTAAGGGTATGAGGGCAGTTCCCGGTTGCCCACACCGTGGAAGGGTTTATCTATAGGTACCTGAAAGGGAGATTGGGTTAGAATTGGCCTTAATGACCTGAGAGTGTGACCGCAATTCCCAAGGGACAACTGCTTGAGGTCGGTCACACACGACATTTTTGTGGGTAGTTTTTGTGTTAGCTCCGTACTTGTTGGAACCTTACCGCCGGAGACGGATATCCGTGGGGTAAGGCGAGGTGTCCATTTTTAGGGTCGACCTTTTCTAACCCCACTCCTTCTTCTGGAAAAGCAGCATCGCTGTTATGCTGGTTGTCCGGAGGAAACACACCTCTGTACAGTCATCAGTACGACTTCGCCTTTGCAATTGATTAGCCTCATAGTAGAAGATGTGTAGCCTGTGTGGATTGCTCCAAAATCGCCCTAAGTCACAAGCATCATAAACAAACATGGATGATGGCTAGCTGTGGAATCTAGGACTTGCTTTTCGTACTATTTAGGACTCATTCACTCAGGAACTCGAACCCTGTACCGTTTGCTTCGAACGCCATCGCGTTGTCTACTTAGCTACTGAGTCCTGATAACCACTTTTTTCTCAATAGACATATATGTTTCTCATTGAAATTTTACAACCCTACTATATATCTACATGTTTTACTACCATCAGAAAAGCTTTTGTGGCTATTTAATCCTTCACTTTTCTTGACCCAGTCACAGTTCACTGATCTGCTTTCCAAACGTATATATGTTACCATTATACAGAAACAGCATAACATTTTAGATTATACCAAAACTGAGTAAACAACTGTGATGAAAAAAGGAAGAGAAAAAACAGTATTAAAAAAATAGACCACCATAGAAAATCTGGAAACACTGTACAGTTGTTTCGTCCTATTGTTGAACTCCTCATCAGTGAGCGTCCACGATCTCGAACTCATGATTTCTTCTACTTATTTACACCTGGTAACCCTCGTGGAGGGGCATAGGCCGCTCATCAGAATTCTCCATCCAACTCTGTCCTGGGTAATCCTTACCGGTTAACATTCATCCTTGTCATATATGCTTCTATTTTCTGGCGTAATGTGTTCTTTGGCCTTTCTCTTTTACGCTTCCCTTCCGGATTCCAAGTTAGGGATTGAGTCGTGATGCACATTGGTGATTTCCTCAATGTATGTCCGATCCACTTCCAACGTCTTTTTCTAATTTCCTCTTCAGCTGGAAGCTGATTTGTCCTCTCCCATAAAACGCTGTTGCTGACAGTATCCGGCCAGTGGATGTTAAGTATTTTGCGCAGACAATTGTTTATAAATACTTGTACCTTCCTGATGATGGCCGTAGTAGTTATCCACGTTTCAGCTCCATACAGTAGGACTGACTGTCTTGACGTTCGTATTAAAGATTCTGACCTTGAAATTGGTTGAGAGTTGTTTTGAGTTCCATATGTTCTTCAATTGTAGAAATTCTGCCCTTGCTTTGCCAATCCTTGCCTTTACATCTGCATTCGAAGTTGGGTGTCTACTGCGTCTTTCATCTGATTCAGCAGCACTCTGTTGAAAACTTTTCCTGGTACTGATAACAAACTGATACCTCTGTAATTTTCACATTTGCTCAGATCTCCTTTCTTTGGTATCTTGATGAGATATCCTTCTTTCCAGTCCATTGGCACTTGTTCCTCTTCCCAAATCTTCTTGAATAGAAGGTGAAGCATGAATTCAACTATATAAAATTGCTAAAATCTCCACAAAATCCCCCTTCTGTTAATATTTGAAAAAAAGACAAACTTTTCAGATAATTGAGGTTAACAATAATTAGTATGTATTAATTGTAGATGTTTGTATGAATATTAATTAGATTTATGATCCCAATCATGTGTGTATTCATTCATCCTCATAGATAGAGATTGAATGGATCTTAAGGAAATAAACCACAATTTTATATATAAGTTATTCTAATTAACCTGCTAGTTCATTTTATTATTAAAGGTCAATGTTTACTCATGAAATGTCAATAAAAGAAAAAAAAATTTTGGAAGTAAATAAAACACAAAAATGGAAACAAATTGATTTGATGGTAATGATCTAGTCATTTTCGTAACGTATAAGAACACTAGTGGGTACAATCAAATGGTTTTGATACGAAATGTACAGACTATCTCACTAAAATCTGATAACCATATAGTAATCAGACGGGGATTTGTTTGGAGATTTCGGTATTTTTATAGTTGAAAGCATTAGTCAATTTAAGCTAGACCACCAAGGAAACCCTGGTAGGTCCTGGGTTCGAATCTTGCGAGGCGAGATCGTGAATGCGCACTGCTGAGGAGTCCCACAATAGGATGAAATGGCCGTCCAACGCTTTCAGGTTTTCCTTGGTGGTCTATCTTTAATTGACTCATGCATTCAACCATATAGTAAACAGTTAATTTGCAAACTATCAATCAATTGTCTCAATCTTCACCATTGCTTCTGGAAATATCAGTTCATAGTCTCTGATTATTATTGTTCATGCATTTTCATACCAATTGCGTTTCGCTTCTGTTCTTTCGTTATTGACCTTCTCGTGAAATACATTCTCTGCCTGACCATCATTACATACTACTTATGTGGATATAAGTGGCCAGCACTACATTTTTATTGTTTATTAGAATTTGTTTTAAGAAAATTTGAAACTAAAATTTTGACTAACTTTTAGGTTTTATTAGTTTGAACTCTTTGGGATTAAAATTCAATGAAGAGAGAGATGTTTCTGTTAATAGTAAGTAATGATAAGTGTAAGATAAAACAATTTAGAGTTGGAGAAAGTTTTAATTATGTACTGAGGTCAAGTTTAAGAACAATGAAAACCAGAAAACATTGCATAGTTGTTATGTTCTAGCTTGAATATCTTGAACTGGTGAGTAGTTGTAAGGTATGGTGTTATAGCTTGTTATATTGTGTATCTGAATGCCCTGTTTATATACGATGTGATGATGCCGTCAATCGGAGAGCAATGATTTATTGATCGGACCAACGACACACGAAACCCACACGAGCAGTCTAAAGTACGTATCAGTCCTGCTTCCTACCTAGCCCAGTCAGTTAAGTTCATAACACCAATGACAGCCTGTGCAATATGAATCATTATTCACAAACATACTGGGTTTATATACCAAACAAACTGACCACATCACACCATAAATAGAAAATAACATTTGTACAAGATTTGGCCAAATGTGGCTGTGAATAGGAGTAACAGTAATTAATGGACTAGGGATAACTCATCAATGGTAAAACGTATGATAATAATCTATAAGTCGAAATGAAGCTTATAACAAGAGGAACACGAATATGAATAGTTTAGTTACTTAACAATTATACAATAGGAAATATACATATCATATTGGTCCACATATAGTCTTCAAAAGTTACCATTCATAATTTTCTTCGGCATATAGCATAGCAGTCTATTGTTTCATTGTTTTCAAGGGTTTTTCAACTGATAGAAGATCACAATAAAAATTCTTTCCGCATTAAACTAGTCTTTATTATCTACTTGAAAGAAATAACTGAAGTTGAAAATTCCAGACAAGTAACTTTAGATGACATAGTTAAGTATTGTTATATCATCTATTAAAAGTATAGAGTTATGCTTTGCCATAACACTTTACTTGGACAGTCAATTACAAGTAAGATCATAACGTAGGTAGTTGTGAGTATATACAGTGATTACTCGACTTGCAGCTAAGATCATTGAAAAAAATTCTTACAATATAATATAGTTAAGATCATGAGTCAATTGAACCTAGATCACCATCTGAAACTTGAAAACACTGGACGGCCGTTTCGTCCTATTTTACGACTCCTCATCCCGTGCGCATCCCGTGCTCCCAGATTTCTCATGGTGGTCTAGCTTCAATCGACTCATTATCTTAACTATATAAAATTATTAAAATCTCCACGAAACTCCTTTCTTACAATATATCTTTTGAAATTTCTCTCTTTGACTATAAAGTGTATTAGGCTAAAATTTTGGTTTATGAACACATATGAACATCTTCAGGGAATAAACATCAGTTCATTTACTCTATTTTCAATATTCGTAGTAATCCATAGATTAAAAAGACCTGCTAACTTATCAGGGTCTCTAACATAATTTACTCAACAAAAATAAATTAAAAAAACTAAAATACTGAACGACATATTTTTTTATTTAATTGAAGTACACAAGTAATAAATAATTTATTAAAACGAAATTAAAAAAATTCTATTGTGTAAAATCCATCTTACATTTTCTTGAATTTCTATTGGTTCATTTATTCAACCAATAGGAATATTCCATTAGAACGAAAAAAAATCATAAATTTAAAAGAAAAAAAAATTATTTTTATCCCATAATTTTATTTTATTATTTTCATCATCATTAAGTCTTATTCTTCACTCATCAAACTATCTAATAAGTAAGTTCAAATTGTATTATTATTTCATGTATCAATTTTAATGTCTATTGAATATCATCTTCATTAACTAGTCATTGAAATCCTCTAGACATCTCAATATGATTTGTTTAGATGATTATCTTTCTAGAATGACTTGACTTATGATTTCAACTATGAAAATAGTGAAATATCGACAAAAACCTATTTTGATCTATAATCATATGCTCACTAGTGACTGATTGTATGGAATTTTTCCTTTAGTTCTAGCGGGAAGTAGTGACCAGTGGAGTTCAACCAAGTCTGTTGTAGAGATATCAATTCACTGAATACAATTGGTGAACGGTTGTTCAAATATCGTGGATTGGTTGAAGTTAGACATTAACACCGTTGGATGTCGGCTGACACAGTAATCTAGAGATTAAGTGATCTGGCGCGAGATTGGTAGGTCCTGGGTTTGAATCTCGCGAGTGCGGGATCGTGGATTCGCACTGCTGAAGAGTCCCATAATAGAATAGTGCTTTTAGGTTTTCCATGGTGGTCTAGCTTCAATTGATTCATGAGTTCAACTATGAAAATACTGAAATATCCACAAAAACCCTTCTGATTCCTAGAATGAAACAATCATGTTAAGTAAAGCCTAATTTTTTAAAAAAAAAACATGTAATATGTTCTTAAAGACAGAAATATCTTATCAATATATTATATTAGCTGCTAATAAGATGCATCTAGAATTTTCAAGAAACTGATATCCCTCATGATATTCAAAGTCGTGTTACTTAGTTACACAATAAGCGAAATTCTCAGTGAACTTTCTATAGAACACTGACATTAGTATAATAATCTGTCACTGTACAGTGTGCAATTTCATGTTGCCTAATTTTTAGTACTTATCTAATTCTTTGGGTTTGTTAATCAGTTACAAATTACTTTAAATTTAAAGAAAAACTCATGAATGTACTTAGATAAATAATACCTTGATACATTTGATTCAGGCTAATGGATGAACCTAAAACCCATTGATGAACTTAATTTACACATAAAGTACAATTAGGCTATTTTAACATGAAACTTCTAAAGTTATCTATTTTTATTACAACAGTTAAAAATGTTTGTTTTATGGTGATAAAGGTTGTTGATTAAAAAACAAAACCAAATATGAATTTAAAAATTAAAATAAACATGATTGCATGGTAATAATTTCAAATTATTTACATACGCCTGTTATCCCTCTTGAAAAATGCATAGGCCACCCACCATTAAATCCATGTAACTTTATCCTGGACAATTGTTTTCCAGTTGTTATTCATCTTTTTTATATCTGCTTCTATTTCCTGGTGTGATGTGTTCTTTGGCCTTCCACTTTTCCGCTTCCTTTCGGGATTTCAAGTTAGGGCTTACCTTGTGATTTCTTATAGTGTAATGTATAAAATAAGTCTGTTTGATAGTTTAAGTTATTTGGTTAGTTTTGAATAAGTCATGTATTGAATGTGTTATATAATCATGTATACTACTTATTATATACATATATAGTAGTAATGTAGTAAACAAGATACCGGTTGGGACAATGGAATGTATTTAAGCACAGCATTACAGACTATCTCACTAAATTCTGATAGCCATACAATAAACAGTTGTTTCAATCTTCACTGTTCCTCCCATAAATATAAATCCATCTTCTCTAATTCCATTGTTCATGCATTTTCCTACCAATTGCGTTTCATTTTAGTCTTTTCCTTATCGGTCTTCTGCCAAAATACATTCTATGTCTGACCATCATTATATACTACTTATATGTATATAAGTAGACCACACTACAGTAATACAAATAAATTTGTTTGTTACATTCATTATTTTGATTTAAATAATAAATAAATATATGGACATCAATCAGATTATGTAAGAGATGAATGTCAGAAGATGAAAGAATAATAAAGTAATGTGAAGGTTAGGGACAAGTTCTAGAAAAAAAGCGATTAAAATCAACGAAGGTTATTAGATAAATATCCAATTATCATAATAAACAAAGAATAATCAAACTATCCTTCTGTGAATATAGGTCAAGTTGGAAACGTTTAATAACGACTATCAATGCTATATGGAGTATGATTGATATTTATTGTCTCTTGATCATTTTGAATGGATTCACTTCAACACCAGTTGTTTATTATACCAATTAAAAGTCGATCACTACTCTTCCGATGTTATCTTCAACTGCATCTATGAATATACATGTACCTGAGGTAGCAACTAGATATAAAGGACACAGAGAAGAGTCACTAAACAGTTTTCCAAACACATTCGTAGGAAAAAACGATTGAATACAAATAAAGTCTTCACAAGTGCAATAGCAGACACTTTTGAGATAGTGGACATGATATGAATGTTAATGATGCATCTAAAATAATCAAGAGAAAAGAAATACCAATCATACTCCATATTGCAGTGATGATCGTTATTAAACGTTTCCAACCTGACCTATATTCACAAAAGGATAGTTTAACTATTCTTTCTCTACTATGATGATTGGATATTTGTCTTATAACCTTCATTGATTTTAATCTATTTTTTTTCAACCTTGTCCCTAACCTTTTTGTTACTTCATTATTCTTCCATTTTCTGATCTTAATAAACAATTGTTCAACTTTTGATAATGATGTCAAAATGAAATTACTTTTCAACTCAAACAGAACACTATATGGTATTGAAGTTTATCAATATGTTACATATATACTATCATCTATTAACTGAAGAATTTTAGTCTGGTTGGCATTTTTTTTAGCAAGATTTTGTTTCTACAGGATGAGGTTGCCGACATCATGCCCAACCATCCTCTTTTACCTGGTCTTGGGACCGACAGGAACTCTAGAAGAGCTACAGGTAAAGTTAACTGAAGAAAAGTGATGAAAAATGAATTCAGAAGAATTTGAAGTAAATTACTTTTAGAAGATAAATAATACCAGAGAATAGTTTAAAAAAGGTTCATATCTATAGTTAAAGATTATTCTATTACGTCTATAAAAGTGTACTTTCATACCACGCTGTAGATTTCATGTAAGAAGATATACATAAAAGATTTATAGTACGCAATCACATTCCATTGAACGGTATTTGTACATCAATCCAAACTGGGTAAGAAAGAGTAAATTACTGATAACAATGAAATATAATTATTTTCAATTACAATCTGATATAAGTGAAAAGTAGAAACCCTTTAACTCTTACGGAATAACTGAAAGATGTTTCACCATGGGGGATGAAATTCTTAGATTATACTATGGTTAGTACTTCTAAGGGGTACCTAGCCTGTCGTATGCTCTGATGGTGTTCTCGTGACTTTCAGGTTGCCTGATCTGCCAAGGGCGATGGGACAGTGCATGACAGTATTTTTTTGTGCTAAGTTCAAAAATAATTGTTTGCTATATGCATGCAAGTCCGCCACGTTATTGTTCCTATGAGTACTTATAAGGAATCATTAGTTCTATGTTTTCAATTATTTTTCAATATTAATTCAGTTAAGAATAAAAGATTACTTACATTCTCTATATGATCATTCTGAATAAATAGAAGACCCATTACGTTTGAGTGAACATATATTTTGACGCTCTGCTAGCTGTGGAAGTCATTACTATATTAATCTTCAATCTATACCACTGAACTCAAGAACTGGCTTGTGTTTATAAATAGGATTGATTTGGAGAGTAACGTTTTTGTAAAAGTTGAATTGTAAAAAAAAACAATAAGTTTGTTATAAGTATGGTGAATTTACGATTTCGATTAAAGTCACCCGAAGTTATTCTGATCATTATGATTATTAACACAATTACTATTATTGTCTGATTATCATGTTTGGTTTGTTATGAAATATTCGATAAACTACTTTTTTGATTGAGATCATGAATCGATGAATGTTAGACAACCAATGGAAACTTGAGAGCACTAGACGGCCACTTTGTCTTAGTATGAGACTCCTCACTAGTGCGCATCCACGATCCCTTATGTGGGACTCGATCCCAGTAACTTGGGTTTCATGCGCGAACGTTTAACCTCTAGACAACTGAGCCAACATGCTACAGTGTCGATGTTTAACTTCAACCAATCCACCAAATCGCGCAACTATCTTCCATTGTCTGAGATAGATACTTATCTCTAGCCGACACGGATTGAACTCCACTAGTCACGAATTCTCACTAGAACATTGAGATTCACCTCTCGAAGTTGGTCACTAATAAGCAAGTGGTAATCTATATTTCATGTACTCTAAAACTATCATTTCATTCATCTGCTTCGTACTCACCCACTATTCTAAACTTATATAAGCTGTTCAAATCTTTTTTAGTTGTTACGCAATTCAGCTTTCGGATTCTATACAATTGTCATATCATTACTCCATGTCTTTTATAAATATTCTCAACTGATCTGAAAATTATGCAAATTTTTCAAACAGTCATTTCCAGACTCTAAATAGTTACTGCTTCAGGCCATAGGTTTTTCTTTTTGGATTCCATTTCTAAATGATCTCACTTATTTATTCATAAATTTACATATTTTTTTACTGATAATCTTAATGATGCTAATTTTGTCATCGCTGTCCATTACACCACATTGTATCATATCTTACTTTTATAATGTAATGTAAATGAAGTTGTAAACAACTGACGAGAATTCGTATTATTCTACTTCAATCATTGTTTAAGATTTATACGTAAAATTTATTGAGCTAAAAAGTTCGAGAGAAGCAATGGTGAGTGGAGTGCAACCTGGTCTGTTGTGAGATAGCAATTAACTGAAGGCAATGGTGGATATGTTGCTTAATTTCATGGATAAGTTGAAATTAGACATTAACACTGTTGGATGCCGGCCGACTCAGTGGTCTAGAGGTTAAATGCTCGCGTGCGAGACTGATAGGTCCTGAGATCATACCTCGCGAGGTGGAATCGTGAATGTGCACTGTTGTGGAGTCTCATAATAGAACGAAACGGTCATCCAGTGCTTCCACGTTCTACATGGTGGTCTAGCTTCAA